AAACATATGGAACATGCAATATCAATATTGTTACCTAATTCCAATACTGATAGTCTGATACCAATACACATGGAACAGCAAGTGCAATTGGTTCTGTTCACTTCTGCACACTCCTTAAGAATATCCCAAGAATAATACCAATACCAAGAGCTAATGCAATCGGTTCTGTTCACTTCTGCACACTCCATAAGAATATCCCACTTAGCTCAAACAGGGCATATCAGGATCACTGGTGGCCTCCCCAAATGCATCCTTTTAAAATTCCATACTGTTCATGCACCACACAACACTTACACAGAGAATCCACCTGCCTGATCAAGAGCAAAGATTTCTAACACTGAAATTGTGATTGCCTGTTCAAATGAACATGGGGCTAAACTACTGGAGGGAACAGCTGGAGCTGTACCAGGGCAAGGTTAGGGTGGGTTTTGGGAAAAGGTTCTTCACCCAGAGAGTGCTGGGGCACTGAACAGGCTTCTCAACAGGGAATTGGTCACAGCACAAGCCTGAGAGAGCTCCAGGAGCATTTGGACAATGCTCTCAGCCCAGAGTAGGATTGTTGGGGTGTCCTGTGCAGGCCCAGGGGTAGGACTCAATGATCCTTGTGGGTTCCTGCCAATTCAGCTGATTCTACTCAAAAAGAGGGCTGGCAGGGAAGTGTCATTTCTGCCCTGCAGCTTTCCCAAAGCCCTCCAGGGAGCTGTGCCGGTATAAGCTGCCTGCCCTGGGGCTAGGCCACCGAGGTGTGGGGCAGCAGGACGCTCTGGTGACATCTGCTCCTCACTATTCAGGGGTACCTGGGATTACCCAAAAAGCCCCCGGAAGACTAATTTTCTTAACTTTACAAAATGGTGTTGCCAGTCTTAAAACCACTTGTTGAAATTCAAGATTCTGCATGTCCTTGCAGGGATCTCATCTGATCTTGACTGTCTCTCAAGTAAAGGTTCAAAAAAACAAACAAAACACCATGGCTTGATGTCTTCCTTATATTTCAGTGCTTCTGTAATGAATGGAGAGATAAGAATTACTTGCACCAGACAGCAAAGCAGCAAAGCCACAGCAGCAGGAACTGCACAGCCAGCCAGCGCTCCCTGCTGCAGAGCATAGCATGCCAGGCATGTGGGAGCTGTAACCTGCCTCCCAGCTCAAAAAGGCCTGCAGCAATCTGAAGCCCATTCTTCTTTTTTTTTTTGTCTTTTCTGAATCTTCATCCACACCCTTCAGGATGGGCTGTGGCCCCCTTACTTGTCATGGCAGTTGCATAATTCCCCAACACTGTTCTGCTCCACGCCTTCCTCCCCACTCTGCCACAGCCCTTGAGCCCAGCACAGGAGATGCTGGGGAGCAGCAGCTATTGAAGGATGGCTTCAGGAATGAGAGGTGACCACCAACCCACAACCCCTGAGCTCTGAGGCAGGACAGAAGATGGAATTCCACAACAGAGAAGAAAGCTCTGGTATCTCGCTTTCCAAAAGAATCATTCTCAGCACCCTGTCAAGAAAAGTTTCCCAACACCCTGTTTTTGTAGACCATCTTTTAGGTCTTCTTTAACTCAAAGGAGCACTTTGTACTTCATAGCTTTTAGTTTTCAGAAAGCAGCTACATAAAGCCCTCATCAATACTTAAAATGAAAGGGATGGCAGAATTTGGCTGTGTAAAGCTTCTGAAAAGGGCAAAGAGACAAAAGGACAGATGTGAGCAGTGGGCAAGCAGGGAAACTGATACAGCTCCATGCCACCAACAGCTTCCAAACAGTAGTTTCCTGTTACTGCGTTTCTGCAGGAAGCCATGCAGGCTCTTGTGTGCTGGGGTATAAAAACACTGTTCTAACCCTCAAAGCTCAAGAGAATACTGGCACATGGCTAGAAAAGGAGTTGCCCTTTGGTGGCACATCTGAGGAGACCATGAGAACACAGAAGGCAAAACCACCTGATCAGGAAGTGAGGAAACTCTGTTATTTCACTGTATCACTATTAACTACAAGGAAAGATGGTCTAACAGCAAACTACAGTGGATTTAGGGGACCTCTGTTTATTTTGCTGCTCTGGAAGAGGTTTCTTACAGACCAAGGAGCAGGTCACTTAGAACTGAAGCAGAAAGTGTCATCTCTGATTTGAAACTATACTGAAGTCAATGTCTAAATTTCTTCAAGAATATCAGGGGTTGTTTTTCTGTCTCACAACCTACCTCCTATGAGTCTTGACAAAGTACTTTCCTATCTGACAGTGCAACTGCAAGGTTGAACTTATTAAATATTGAGAGACGTTAACCTTACATAGACAGGATGTGTTGTGAAATTATACAAAACAGAGTGTGAATATTTTCCTTTCTAGGAGAAAAACTGAAATAAACATGACTTAATCCTTTGCTGACAGGGGAGTGGTTGGCTCACAATGCCATAATCTGAAGTTCCAGCAGACCTCATTTAAACTGTCGGGCGGAGTTTCCAGCCACCGTTTAAGATAGTCATTAAAGTCAGTGAAGACAGGAAAAAACGAGTTACAAGAAGTGAGGTGGTAGCGTCACCTGTTTCCCAGTGAAAACACCACCCAAAAGAAGATCTGTGAATATGTTCTGGAACCTGAACAACTCAGCAACTTGAGGTGTTTTAGTGTTATTGTGATTAGGAGTAAAACACACCCCCCTATTGAGAGCAGAGAAAGGAACCACAAATCCAGAAGACACAGTCTGAGTTTTTGACAAACCTGGGAAGCAGAACCCTTAGGGAGCTGAATAACAGCACAGCTATGCTGATTTACTGGGGGGCTGCCAGTAGAGACAACAAGAGGGTTGTCCCCAGTCTCTCCTGCCATCACATACTGTAACTTGATCCAAACCACCAGGGCACGGACAACAAGGCACATCCAGCACATGGATATCCTGCTCCCCTGGTCTCACCTCTACACAGGCAACAAACATGGTTTCTCATGGTGACTGTGACTGGCACAAATGTTTCTCTCTATTCTAGAGACCAAATGAAATGAAAGCAAGATGGAAGAATCCCTCATAAGCACCTTGTGCCAAAATATCTGCTGATGACAAAGTCAAGGTGAGAGCTGATTGTTGCTAAAGGAAGTGGCCCCACTCCCTCTGTCCTCAGGCTCTTCCTTTGTGCTCCTCTGAACCTGCCTTGACCAGCCTTGCTAAAGCTAAAGCAGCAAAAGGCTGCTTCTGCTGAAGGTTTGAATGTTCTTCCTTGTGGCACAGACACCAGTTAGATAGACACAAATATCAGCACAAAAAAGTTCTACAGCAGGCATCCAGGAGGCTGCATCCTTCTGGTGCCACTGAACTTCAGTGCATGGTAACTTGGCACAGTGATGCCCCTGAACAGGAAAAACTTCATTAGAGCCATAGAGCTTGGATGGAGAGAGCAAATGCCCTGCGAGTCAGTAGAAATCCCATAGGAAAGAAACCTTGAGGCACAGGGAGAGCTGCTCCCTGAACTGCACACCCAAAGCTGACCCTGGCAGGCAGACTGCTTTTTACTCAACTCCATACACTCCTGCCCTCTGGAGGGTAATGGCCATTTGTGTGTTGCCAAACAGGGCACATGAACAAGAGAAGGGCATTCACCAGTCAGTGTTTCCTCCTACAGAGCCACTGACTCGAGACGCTGCTGGGATTGCTACAAAGTCGAAATGCAGAGGTTTTTGAGTTTCTTGAGATTTCCTCTTCTGGCTTCCCTTGCAACAAGCCCTATGGATAATAGGGGAACAACATGAATCCCACACAAAAACTCTTCAGAGTTAAGAAACATCCAGCCTATTCTGAGAAACCTCTCACGCATTAGAAGGCAACATGTTCACTTAACCAGGATGGTTCATTTTTAGCCAGAGCTTCTAAACTTGTCTTCTTTCAACAGCATTAATAGTTTTAGGTTACTACAGTTACAAGAGTTCTGTATATATATATATATATATATATATTTTTTTTTTTGTACCTCTTGAGTAGGTGCTCTCTTCTCTCTCTCCCACAGTTCTATTGTGAATCTCCATCTTTCTTCCTCAGACCTTAGCCCTGTCCAGACTCCGACGTTTTTCAGAGCACGTCTGCCCAGGAGCACGGCAGCCAGCTGCACCCTCCCCGCTCACCAGTTCTGATGTCTTTCCACCATCCCAGCCAAGCCAGACCTCTTAGTCACCGCTGGCAGAGCGGAATTCCGCCTTTCTCCCAGCTGACCCCTTCCTCTTCGTCCTCCCACTGCTGCCATCCTCCCGGAGCTTCCAGCGTCCCACCGGTGCTCCTGGGGCAGGATGGAGCCCCTGCAGCGCAGGCGGGCACGGCGTGCGAGCTGCCGCCCTCACTCGCCCCTTCGCCACTGCCCCCGACAGCGCTGCCCGCGCCACGCAAACCTCACAGGGCTGCGGGAGACCCCAGAGGAGCTGCCCTCCACACCCACGGCCGGAAAGCCGCCGCCCCTCCGGGAGGGAGCGCTGAGAGCTGCCCCAGAGCCCCGGCGGCCGCACGGAGCCGGCCCGGCGCTGCCGGGGTCCCGCTGCCGCTCCGATCCGCACCTCCCCCGTACAAAAAAAACCCTTTGCCCGAGCGGGCTATGAGAGCCAAGCCGCCTAGCCCTGCTCCAGCCCTGCTCCAGCCGAGCCCCGCATCCCCCCGCATCCCCGGGCTCACCTCGGCCGAGAGCGCAGCTCCGTCCCGCAGCCCCGGCGCCGCCCCCGCCGCTCCCACCGCCGGACCGGACCGAGATGCCCCTCCCGGGGCCGCCCCTCGGGTCGGGTCGGGTCGGGTCGGGGAGACTCCCGGGAAGGACCCGTCCCCTCCCTGAGCCCCGGCGGCGCTCCGCGGAATGACCGCAACCCCCGGCACTGCCGCTTTCGGCCGGGCGCTCTGGGGTTTTTAATTCCCACTGTGCCACTTAAAATTGTCCCAAGGATTTTTTTTTTTTTTGTCCCCCCCGTCTCGCTCTCTCCTTTCTAATTGCAGGAGTTTGTGCTCTACCCCGCGGCCAGGTAACCCGAGCCGACCCCTCGCAGTTATACCTGTGTTGTCTCGCTCGAGTAGCGATGCGTGGCAGCGTGACCCACCCTGGCCAGAGACATCCCGACATCAGGAGCCGCCAATTACGGGCAGGAGGAGGAGGGGAAGGCGGAAGCTTCCCACACCTGTTGACGCCAGGGGAGATCTTACACTAAAGATGGGGAACTGAAATTTGTAGTAAAAAAAAAAAAAAAAAAAAAAAAAAAAAAAAAAAAAAAAAAAAAAAAAAAAAAAAAAAAAAAAAAAAAATGCAGCCCGTATCTGAACTTCTGAACTGCTGACGTGTAGCAAAGCAAGTTTCAAATATTCCCTCAAGCAGGAGGAACTTTTCTGTTAAATTCCTGACAATGATTGCTTAACAAGTTCTTAATGAGTATGAACAAAGAAGGAAAATTTGGGCTTTCATTTAGAAAAGCACCACTGACTGCTAGGCTGCTGTAGGATGGAGTAAATTGCATTGGAATTCACCAGAGATTTTGCGAAGCAGTTTAGGTGATACAACCAAGAATGGTTTAGATATTCCTACCTGGAGCAAGTGTTAAACATGGGTTCTTTAGAGATGCCTTCCAGCTCCGTGTTTTGTTTCCCACGACATTTATGTGTTACTAAGGTGTTACAAATGTTGTACCTGTGACAAACCTTTCCACCACAGAAATACTGACATTGCTGCAAACAAAAACGCTTTCCCCGCAATCAAGTAATCTGTCCCCACCAATAATGCGTTAGTTCTTTTATCAGAGCAGGTCTTAATCAAATTTTAAGTTAAAAGAGATTTCAAGATATTTCTGTCTGTGCAGCTGAGCAGAATTTAAATTAATGAGAGAGTTGCAACTGCTGAAGGTGTCAGTGCTCATCCTCCTTGGAGCATCCTGCTTAGATGCCATTCCTTGCCTGGTCCCTGGGTGGGAGCAGCCCTCGGATGCAGGGAGAGGCAGGATGGGGTTTGTGAAACCCATGGGAGCATTCAGAAGTCTGCAGCTGGATCGTGGGGGCTCGTAGGGCAAACGCAGTACCTGCACCACCGCCACACGCAGACACCCCGTGGGGAGGTGACAAGGTGGAGAAGGAGGGTCTGGAGCTCACATCTCTCTCCATAAGAGTTCCAGAGCCAGCATTTATGTCCCCTGGGGTTACTACAGCAGGGATGGTAAAATCTTAGTTTCTGGACATGGAGATGTAGCCAACCAGCAGGATTCAGATCACACGTGTGCCTCCGGGCTGTTTTACCATCAGTTCTTGCAACTTGAAGCGGGGGCAGTACTCACAGGTCTGGGCTGAGGTATGCGGGGCCTCAGCGAGCCAAGTCGGGGTCTGGGAAGCAAATAATCTACCCCAAGTCCCCGTGGAGAGCGTAACAAGGTGTAAATCACTCTCCAAAGCATCCGGCACAGCAGTGGCATCATCACCTCTGAGCTAGTTTGACAGCTGCTAATCGGCTGCATAAAATAGTTTTCAATATTTTGGACCGGATTTTGTTTGATGAGCAGTTTCCTATGTGGTCTGTCAGCCGGTGAGGCGACTCCCGTGTGACCTGGGAGGGGAAATATGCTGGGGAGGGGTTGCTGTGACAATACAGGTGGCTCGTCCTCATCCCTGCTTCAAATAAGGCAGCGAGCAGGCTGAGCCCTGCAGCCAGCCAGCAGATCTCACAGATATTATATATCCCAGATATAGATATATCCTGAGCCCTCGCAGGATCAGACTCCCAGGTGCTTTATGTACCATTTCCTTGGAGGACAGGTTCAGCCCAGTTGTTCACGGAGCTGCACATTTTACCAGTGTGGTAAATGGGTATAAATAACCGAGGGCAGTCTCCTGCAGGCACAGCAGGTCTGGTGCTCCTGCCTTTCCATCCAGCAGCTCTTTCTGGATCATGTCAGGGAGCGGCTCGTCCTGGGGTGCTGCAGGTGGTGACTCTGGCTGGGCTGAAGGACACTCACACCTCCTCTCCTCTCTCATGCTTTTCGGCCTCAGCTGTTGTCTTGCTGTCTCTTCTGACTTTGCTTTTAGCCAAACAGAATTTTTTCCTCCCTTTGGAAAAGGAGATCAAACCCTCTTGTGATGCTGCCAGCAGCCCTTCTCTGATGTTCTCCTGCCAGGAGCCAGATTGCAGAGTGAGACCCTTAAAACCCTGCATTTTTTTGTGCCATGGTATTCCCTATCAGTCTCAATGGGATGGACACTGGGGTATGTTCCCATTTCCAGTTTGTTTTTTTTTTTTTAATCAAGTTTCTGTGAGAGGAAAGAAGAATAAAACCAGTAAGTAGCTTTGCTTGCAGACACTCACACCTTGAATTTCCCAAGTCTCTAATAAGAGCTTTTCTTTTTAAAAAATGAAGTTGGCAGAAACAGAGAAATCCTTTTAGAGGCATTAGGACATTATAATATTTATTGTTCAGTGTGCACCAACCCTGGTGTATGCACTCTGATACATTTTGCCAGTTGAGTCAGGCATGATAATAAACATCATGTCCAGCAAGTGGATTAATAATGGAGATGTGATGTGAGAGAAATTGGAGCACTGAGGGAAATTGGAACAGTGTGGTACCTTCAGAGAGAAGGCAGGATGGCTGTTACATAATTTAAACCCAAAGTGAGGTGTTCTACCACGGACAAAAGGCCAGCAGACCCCTGCTCTGCACAATAATGGCCTAGCTGCAGCTTTCTCCCCATTCCAAGAATCCCTAAGAGCAACTCCCCTGTAACTACAGCTGGCAGCAGGGAGACCTGGAAACATTTGAGTATATGGAAATTAAGTACTTGTTTGTCCCTTTCTGCAGGAGCCTGAGATTGCAAAAGCTTTCCCTGGCCCAAGCCCAAAGTTAGAGTACTGAATTAATCATTACCACTAAATTGGTTGGATCATATTGTAAAGTGTCATGCTGATTGTATCAAATAATTTTAATTTCTATCACATTTAAATAGATTTAACCATATTCAAATGCCATTTCAAAAGGAGTATTTGTTTTGAGTTGGAGGGAAAATGTTTGTGTAGAAAGTGTCAAATTTGTAACATTTTTGTGTATTTTTAATTCACCTCACCATATTTCCTTTTAGTTTCAATACTCATTAAAAGTCATTTCTTCCTGCCAGAACCCCAGTTTGAAAGAAATGCCAGAAAGCCCTGAATCACTGGAAAATCCCAAAGTAACTCCACCAATTACAGCAATGGATGAATTTCATAGCTACAAATAAGAGCCCAGACCTGTAACGCTGTGGTCAGTAAGCACTGCCAGTTCCCATAAATCAGGTGGTTCTGATTCGGGTACTGAGATCAAGTTACAAAAGCCCAGTGTTTGACTGCCCCCACCTCTCTGTTTACATTTATTTGTAAACATTTGTTTCTTGTCAGACTGATGTTACCATTCACGCCATAAAGTGGAGTTTTCCTGAAGGCAGGGAAATAACTGCAGCATGTGAGACAAAATGCTTTGTGCTTCATACTTAACCCACCGTGGGGTGTGGAGGTAAATAAGGCAGCGAGAACACCCTAAATCCAACTGGCGACTGTGTTCTTACATAAATAAAGGTCTTTGTAAGCCTCTTGTTCCTCCTTGGTCCTTAAGGATATTTGCTGTATTGCAGCAGTTCATGGCTCATCAGATGTGAATCACTCTACTCAGAGGCTATTTGGAAGTAAAATACATTTAGGACTATAAACAGATGCGAAAGTCCATTTCCAGAAAACATGCCTGGCTCATTATTGATGCAGGGCTGCTCCTCCAAGGTGCTAATGCAAGAAAGAAGATGGTCTAGTCTGAGTGCTGGAGCTTTGCGGAGTTGGACATTTTCATTTAAATGTTTCCTCTTGAAAAAGGTGAATCATTTTGATATGAAACCTGTACCAGTCTGAAAGCAGCATGTGACTGAGATTTCGGAGTCACCAAACTAGCCTGTGAAACAAACAAACAAACAAATCTTCAGGTAGAGGAATAGGCATGGGTACATTGCGTGCTCATCAGCCGGATCACAACAATAATTTAACAGAGGTTTTTTCTTCCTTTGTGTGGTGCAAGGGGTTTCGTGTTTGTCTGGCTGAATTCCAGCAGACCTGTCTGGTTTTCTTGTTGGTAGCATCCCTCCTTAGTCCCACTTAGGTCCACTCTGCTCTGCCTGGGCAGAGCTCCAGACTCCTGAGCCAGAGACCAGAGTCCAAATCTCAGGTATCAGCAGATGCTTAAGCACTGACTTTGCCAGGTGCTAGAGGTTGCCCTATGAGCCAAAAATCCCACAACACTTATGTAAAGCAGAAACTACTCATCCCCAGAGAAATTTATTCCACTATGGGATGGGGCACGAGAGCAGGATCAACAAACTCACCAAAACACCAGGGAAAAACAGATCCACGGAAGATTTTCACTCCCCCTGAGACAACCAATGCCAGCACACAGCACTTGCCGAGTTTAGAGTGAGTGTTTAACCGGTGAAATAGAGTCCTGTTGTTCACATTCAGAACTGCCGGTGTTTACTGAGGTTTCTCGGGTTTCCACCAGGCTGTGGGTGGCTGAGTTGATTACGGAACATTTTCTGCAGCTCATCCTCTCCTTAAAGCTTAATGGTCTTTCAAACATCCCCAGCGTCCTTCCTGGCCATTGTGTCAGGTGAAATGTTGTTTGATCTCCATTTGAAAAGCAGAATTAGTAGCGGGGGTGCAATATTTGCCTGTTACCTATAATCATTCATCCTTAGCCACCCCGGGACTGATAAGGAAGGAGGAGCGGGCAGGAAAACCGGAGCGGTTTTCTGTAGTAGCCATGGAGTCGGTAAACACGGCAGGGCTCTTAGTCCTGAGCCGTGCTGAGGTGTGTGCTCACCTGCCAGCAGGCAGGACTGCCCTAAAGCCACAGGAGGAGAGAAAACACCCTTGCTACAGCAGCAGGGTAGGAGTAGGGATCAATCACACTGCTGAAATAAAGAGGGTCTATGCCTTTATTAGTGTTCAGCCCCAGCTTTGCAGGGGGCTCGACACGGAGCTCTCCCCTGCTGTTGTAGCTGTCCCGGTAGCCGAAGCGGGAGGATGCGTGCAGAGTCTGTCCCTGGAGTCTCCGTGGCATATTGGTAGCTGGAGGTGAAGAGGTGTGCAGTCTGTATCTGAAGCCCCAGCAGACAGTCCTCTCTCCTGTCCTCT